AAAGTAGTCTCAATGTTTATTGTCTTGATTATATTTTTTAATTTGTGAAGGTCGTTTTTTCTTTATCTCTGAGAGAAAAAAAAGCTTCGTAATTACATTTTAGAACCATTAAAATATATATAAATATAATTTTACTTTGAACTTAATTTCCAATACAAACTTTAAATTGTAGGAACTATATATTGTACCAAAGCAAATCATTATCTGTTTACCTTAATTTAGTTGTTATAAGTAAAATCAAAATATCAAATTACTTTGAAATAGTTTTGGGTATGAGGAGTTCTGGACAATTGTAGAGCATCAAACCAAGGAATATGTGAAGTAAAGTAAATTCAACCAATAAAAAAAAATGTTAAGGAAATCTCACACTAAATAGTCCAAAAAATGACAAAAATTTTTAATGGAAAAGATATCTAAGGGCCGGGGATTTAGCTCAGTGGTTCTGCCGCCTGCCTCGCAAGCGCAAGGACCCAAGTTCAATTCCCAGTACCAAAAAAAAAAAAGATATCTAAAAATGAGAGGAAATGATACATATAAAAAGAAGTAAGGAAATGGTAACAGGTTGTTTCACTAAAAATAAATGATCTTTAACCAGGCATTTTAATACACACCTGTAATCACAGCACTTGGGAGGCTGAGGCAGGAGGATTGCCATGAGTTCAAGGCCAGCCTAGGCTACAGTGAGTTCAAGGCCAGTCTGAACTACATAGTGAGACCCTGTCTCAAAAAGCCAAAAGAAATGAATGTAAGCATATTGTATACCTAAAATGTACCAATAAAATTAATGAATTTTTTAAAAAACCAAAAGAAAAAAAAAGAACTTTGTCTAGATATGCTATGTCATTGGCAGTTTAGTAAAAATATATCCAGAAAAAGGAATATTGAGACATATATTAAAATACCCTCTACCACATGCCAGAGTGTATAGACAGAAGTGTTACTATATCTGGTAATCATAAAACAAAACTATTTTAAAAAATCATTATAACAATGAGATTGCTTTGTGAATCTATCCAAAACTAATCCTGCTTCTCAAGAGACAAAAGCTTAGCCAAAGACTAAGTGGGTCAAGAGATCTATTATGAGAATATAACCTTTATAACCTGACACTTTTCTTTTGTTTGTTTAATGTCTGTAATAATGGGGATTGAACTCAGGGAGATCATACCACTGATTTATATCCTTAGCCCTTTTTACTTTTTATTTTGAAACAAGATTTCAGTAAGTTACCCCAGCTGGCCTTGAAATCTTCCTGATTCAGTCTCTAGAGTGACTGGGATTACAGGGGTCCAACATAGTGCTTGGTTCTAGCATGTTTTTTTAAAAAAATTAGCAGTGGATAATGGTGCATGCCTGTGATCCTAGCACTTGGGAGGCTGAGGCAGGAGGATCACTACAAATTCAAGGCCACCCTGGCTACATAGTGAGTTCAAGGCCAGCCTGGACAGAGAGACCCTGTCTCAAAACAAACAAACAAAAACTAAAAAAATTTTTAAATATAAATTGTGAAACTTACCAAGTTAAATTATGTTCCTTTAATTTTAAATAACTTCCTTAAAAATTATTTGCTAACAGTATAAAGTGTGAATGACATACATGGTAAAAGTAGCAATAAGCCTTCTCAGCTGCTGAAAGCATACTAACATCAAAGTGAACAAAATAGTATATTATTTTTGAGGAAAAATATTTAACTAAAAAGAGCATATAAACCATGCATGGTGATGCACACCTGTAATCTCAGTACTCAAAAGGCTGTGGCAGGAGGATCACCATGAGTTCAAGGCCAGCCTGAACAACATAGCACGACCCAGTCTCAAAAAAACAAATAAAAAATAAATAAATAAAAAGAGCATATAATTTGTTCTCTGTGTGTCTTTTTTTTAACTTCAAGTTACCTAAAGTAATTTCCTCAGTGTGAGATTTTAATTCTTTATGTCCAATATCACATCCTATTCTCAAAACAAAACTAAATAGGGCTGGGGATGTAGCTCAGTGACATCACGCCTCCCTGGCATGCACAAGGTCCTGAGTTTGATTCTTGGTACTAGGGGGAAAAAACTAAGCATATTTTATTACTAAACTCTTGCTTTCATGAAACAAGAATAATAAATATTAAAACATTGTACTTTAAAATATTAACATTTCCCGGGAATTTAGCTCAGTGGCACCACACCT